AAAGCCAAAAAAAAACCAATGGCGTTTCAATGCGTTAGGACGGAATTGAAACTCGTAGAACGAATTTGCAATCAAGAAGCAGTGTTGGATTTCTTACAATATCTCAATAATTTGTGAATCTTTATCAAATCCAACGGTACGGATAGAAAGGTAAATAAATTTGAAAGTCATCTATAATAGAATCACTCCATTTTTGAATTCACATCCTTTCGAAAAAGAGAGGTTAAGTGTGGGGTTTTGCTTAGTAGGACGGAAATTAGATGCAAAACCCTATGTGGTTTTTGAATAAATCGCGAACACCGCGCGATGTCGCGACATGCAACACGCGTCTAACTTCTTTCCACCGGAAAGACGAAACAACTCAAAATCGAGATCGAAAGTACTTAAAAATAAGTTCTCCCGCAACACTACTGTTTTGGGTATAGTTTTGTTCTCATTGATGAGTACTTTTAACTTAAGCGTTAAGTATTGCGATAACGTCTCACTGTACATTAATTATACTCAAGCAGCAGTCTTGAGAGAGCTCTTATTTTTGAGGATTCTTTATCTCGATTTTAAATTGTTTCGTTCTCCGTGCTTTGAAAGTATCCAAAATCGAGTGTTGCGATAGCACTTCGTTTTGGATAAAAAATCTCATCATGCGCCATGTTTATTTCAGTTTCGCTTTGTCATCTGGCAAGCAAAAGTTTAATAGTTTATTTTATTGTTCCGGTGATTGATGGAAATATACCGCGTCACAGTTCCACCTGAGGCAGCACCGTGGAGATCTGGGATTCAATTCCTTTCAATCAATACCTACAGTGGGCAGCTAGGCAGGTTTGTTATCTTTATTGAATTTTCTATGCAAATACCTAACGTAAATTCATTTCATGATCCTAAACAGTGAACTGGTGCAAGCGCGATTTCAACATCCTGGAAAAGATTAATCAGGAGATGGGATCTAAATTTTAGTATTGCGTTAGCCGATCTCAAGGACAACTAGTTTTACGTCAGGAAGTGTCAGGAAGTGTCTTTCAATGTCGATGTTGGTCAGCGAGAACGATTTTTTTTTTATTTGTTTGAATCTGTTTGATTGCTCATAAGTATAAATAAAAGTTTTATGTTTGCTTATAAATGCTTAACACAAACATTGAAAATAAAATAAAACGCAATGAATGAATCATTTTTTTTTACAACAAAATTTGCTGAAATAAACTCCCTGTTTTAAGTAGTTTTTGCCCAATAAGCAGTATTATTGAAATAGTTACATTTTACTCAAAAGGGTGTCTTCGCAAAATACTTGAAATTGGATACTTCGCAGATAACTCAATTTTGACTGGTTGCACTTAGGTGTCAAGATGAGTGCAAAAGACTTTATTTTGAGTTGTTTCGTCTTTCCGTGTAGTAATCACGCGATCCGAGACGAGACGAGGTGTGACTGCCGTCGACGTCGTTCTGGAATCCACTCAACCTTGAGACGACCGCGAGTATGTGGTTAGATTTCTGTAACTCCAGATTTAAGATTAAGATTAAGTATGTATAACGCAAATGATAACTTGGCTCTGTAAAATTTATTCGATTGAGCCGGTACAAATAAACTGATTCACAAAAAAAAAATTAGCACCCCCGCAGGACGATCTTTTTTATGAGCAAGACATTAGGGTGTTTCACACAGCTGATGAGGTCTAGATATCATTTTTTTTAGTTCGAGATAGATCAGCCTTATGTTCAAGAAAGATGTAACTAGAAAAAGTTCTTTGACTTGGGGAAATGCAGGTAATGTCGGCCTAAGTGTCCCTAATTTGGGCCCATACATAAATTCAGCAATCGACTAAATTTTCAATAGCAACCAAAAATATCCATTAGTAACGTCCCAATAACGCGTTCATCTAGATAAAATTAATAAATAGCAGATTTTCAGCGATGGGCCCAATCTTAGACCCATAGGTCAACATTAGAGACATTTCCCATATATGTCTTAGTATTACTTCTGCGTGAAGTCAACGATTTACATAGTTGAAGACGCTAATTTCAAATAACAGACTAAAGTGGTAATTTTTATACGATAGAATGAGGAGATGAAAGTATAGAATTGATAGCTCAGTCCTCTATATCCGTAATACGCGCGCGAGGCTCAAGCCTTTGTAGACTACTTTTTTTTATTAAATTAATCTACTATTAAAGCAAATATTAAAAATCTATTATCACCATCGTGGCGATCAGAAATAGATTTTGCAGTGCTACAATAATTATTAAAAAAGACAGCTATCCAAATAAAATAATCCGTTAGAGATAACTTCGTCAAGATACATAGTTTGTCAATTCTTAAAAAAAAAATCACTGGATAACTGTTCAAAAGACAGTTTTAACGTGTGAAATGCAGTGTCTTTTAAATTCTGTAAGTTTTGCTGAACGTTTGATATGTCTAGGCATCGAATTGAAAACCTTTATTCCTTTAAAATATAATGAATTTCGTGAAGCACAAGTCAAGAAATGTGGTGTTCTTATTTCAACCGCGTTTCTAGTATTATATCTATGAAAGTCACTTCCTCTTTCAATTCGATCACTCAAATATTGAGGCAGCAAACCGTTAACTACTTTAAAAATGAACACCCTAGTCAAATATACAACTCTTTGCTTCACCGACAACCATTGTAAGGCGTCTAGCATCAAAGTTGAGGAAGTATTACATCTCAAAATCAAACGCACTCCATGCCTGCATATCTATAGAATAATAATAATAACATAAAAATAGAACGGTCTTACCGTATGTCTCCCTATGTTTTCCATTATCCCATCCTGACGATTGCAAGCTGCAGGCATTGAAACTCCACAAAACAGGTAACAGAACGATCACGGTACCGGTCCTACTCCATAACATACACAGAACATCATCTGAATCTCTATCATAAACAAGGTGTCCGATTCTTCCGCTCCCGCAGGAGAAAATACTAAACTTCCGACGGAACTGACAACTGAGTAAAACCGATACACAGCTCCAACTAGTGGAATTCCATTGAAAATTCACTTGGAAATATTCTTCGTTTGGCAGATCAGATGCTGTAGTCACGCTTTTCTAAAAAACATTATCGAGTGGCAGCAGTAAATTGAAAAAAAAAACGCGGCGGAAAATCATAGACAAACAATTTGACAACAGGAAAAATGTCGCGTCCTTTTAGAAGCAGGGCACACTTCGATTTCCCTCGGTCTACCTGTGCACCAACTCTCAAAACATAAACAATTATCAACATATTGCTTGTAATGGATAGATATCGAGTAAACTAGAAGATTAAGTGCATTTTTCAACCGATTCGAGTATGATATGGTTTTGAAAGTTTGTGCACAGGTGAAAAGTGAGGTTACGGGACGCCACCTTCGACCATTCGCTGAATCAGGATAGAGCAACTTCAAAGCAAGACCATGCTGGAGGTGGCTGGGTTCGGTTCCCGGTCTGGTGTGGGAATTTTTTGGTTTGCAAAATTTCTCGACTTCCCTGGGCATAGAAGTCATGATTGTACTTGGCACACAATTATACTAGTGCAATAATGATGGAGAAGTCGTTGTGTCTCATCTGAGCGACAAGTTCATCATGTTGAGTCATTGCAATAACCGAAAGTTGTTGTAACTGACGCCGTTTTTGTTCTCCTTAATTTTTGCAGCAACTTTGAAAAGCATTTAACACTTCCGCAAGCTTATCAACAGCAGCGAAGGCCACGTTATGTTCCAACGCCCATGAACATATTTTAAGTTCAGCCTCACTGATTTTATCAAAGGAGGGAGAATCATAAATTTTTGACTCTTAAACCAGTGGCGTGTCCAATCTGGATGCTGCTTCGCGGTGGCGTTTAGTGCTTAAGTGGGTTATCAAATTTGATTTTCCACCACGAGCGATGCCAAGTTTATCTAGGCATATTTTGCAGAACGCAAACAGCGTATCATTTTGATACTTCTCGAAACACATTAGGTCCGGTGAATCAAGCCATTTTAGAGAATATCGATGAATTACCTTTGCTTTAGGTTCTTTTAAGGTTCTGCCTCTTTTCCTTTTAATGCTTTTTGCGGTTTCAGGAGTAGATTTTGATGATTCGTCTGAGTCATTTATATTTGATTGACTGCCATTGGACACATTGGATCGACCTAAAAAACAAGAATTAATTTAGACGACAGGTTTTACTGCTTTACTGAAACCCGACATTTTCAACGAGACAGAACCAGTCACCTTGGAGGAACTTGATGGAACGTCTGGCGCGTCTATTTAATAAGAATAAGGTTAAAATGAGAATACTATATGGATATCCATTAGTAACGTCCCAATAACGCGTTCATCTAGATAAAATTGATAAATAGCTGATTTTTAGCGCTCAATCTTAGATCCATAGGTCAACATTAGAGACATTTCTCCTATATGTCTTAGTATTACTTCTGCGTGAAGTCAACGATTTACATAGTTGAAGACGCTAATTTCAAATAACAGACTAAAGTGGTAATTTTTATACGATAGAATGAGGAGATGCAAGTATAGAATTGATAGCTCCGTTTAGAGTACGGCAGTGTAAAAATTGCATATAGAGAATTGAAAGCGAGCTAGGACAGCTTTAGGAAGGTACAAATCGGTTTTATCATCTCTCTTTACCAAACGCCCCTCCCTCCACAGGGAACATTTTTCGGTGAGAGAGCTTAGAGTTTCATCAAATTGGCGGTTTAATCTTTGTTTACAAAAGCAGATACGTCCTTTTGCAAATCATCCTTGAATTATCCGTCCAACTAACTAAACGATTTCCGGGTATTGATTATCATAATAGCATATCTCGTGAATTGTTTACACACATCAGAACGGGCCTGCTAGCGCACATATTTAATGAGCGCTTCTTCATTTACAAAAGCGAAAATTCATATGCCCGTCAAACCCTCGCCGACATGGACAAACTATGAATAATGAATTCCAACTTGTTCGAATGCGTTCATTCGACGCTGCAAGCAAATTAATCATTCTAATTCCCTATTTCTCCATCTCATCACAGTTCTTGACTCATCGGCCAAGTCCACGGCGGGAATCGAGTATGGACAGCTATACCAATTGGGTCACTTCGATCAGTGTATGAGTATCAACCGGGATCGAGCCTCCAGCCAGGCGGGAATCCTCTCGCAGTACTGCTTGGCCAATGTCCGCCTCGATAGTTACTTTATGCGAACCCTAGTGTCCCGAGTTCCGAAGTCAAACGAAACAGCTCTCATTCACTGGGGCATATGCACCCCGGCAAGCTGTTCCGAAGTGGATGTCGTTCGATTGCTGCAATCGATCAGTGGATCGCGGGACGTTAAAATATCAGGAGATGGGTGCCATCGGGAAACGATCACTGTGTCATCCTCGCTGGACATTGTTTACGTATCGGTGATTCTGTTTTTCGTACTGATGGTGGTGCTGAGCACGCTGTACCACGTGCGATCCATCTATAGGCCTAGGAGCGAGAAGAAGACCACGCTGGTTTACGTGCTAAGGTCGTTTTCGATTCTGGAGAACCTCAAAAAGCTTGCCCAGGACAGTAAGGACGATCACGGATTGGGATGCATCAACGGAATTAAGGCGGTGGCCATGTTCTTCATCCTTGGTGGACACGCCTTACTCTTCTTGTTTGGAGGAGCGGGGTACAATCCAGGATTTTATTACGAGGTAAGTTCAAATTTACAAACAATTAATTTCGGCACAAGTGACTCACAATGACCTGATACGGTCTCTGCAGAGATCATTTAATTATTTTCTGAAGCGAAAGTAAATCCCGAAGCTCAATATCAGCTCGGCGATAATGTGTGTATGTATTTACTCTAGTAACGTGATAAGATCTCTTTCTCTCTGCAACGAGCATCTCTGCGAACAGAATAAACAATTTCCTGCTCAGCAGATTCATTGATCCCTGTCGTCACCAGTCAGTCAGTCAGTCTCATTCCATTAATCCAAACAGTTATGCAGCAGTGTATTGTACATTTCGTGGCTCTGTTGGCCATTTTGGCCTCTGCTATGGCCCTACCGACGAACAGTGCCAATCGAGAATCCGACCAAATTGAAGCATCGATCGAAGTGGTTAAGAATGTTGCCGTGTTCCAAGCTGGAAGCCCGGAACTACGCAATCAACTTCCAGGAGAATCCAAGAAAGTAGGTCAACAGCTGATCTACAGTCTTGGGCAACGCGTTGCAGGTTTGGATCTGATTAAATGTCAACTAGAAACAGGATGAAACCCGAAGATATTATGCTTTTGTAGGTGATCGCTTGGTGTCCACGAAGGCGGATAACAAATCGTGGCCATCCGTGCAGGACGTAACGCTCAGTCTGTCCTATCCGCAGTCGGGCGTCGGAGCGGTCGTGACCTACGTGCAGGTGATTGTGATGCAGACCACCAATCTCGGCAAAGGGTACGTTGTGGCCGGTGGAATCGGTCAGCGGTTCATCCACATGGTGATCGAAGCCTACAGCACCAATTTCTTCAACTACAGTGTTCAAATCTATGGAATTTGAAGCAAACTCTTTTTCATCAGTTGCATTTTTAAACGATTAAATATTCAAGAAACATAAGAAATCCGACAAACATTATTTTTTCTTTTCTTTTTTTTTGAACCTAAAGGGTTTGTGATTTTATTCTAACTTGATGGGTAGTGTTTTATGCAGTGGCGTTTCCTTAACCTCAATCTACCTGGGCACCAATCTAATCTAATCTAACACCAACACAGCCAGTTCTTGAAAGCATCCTGGAAAATGATATATATACCTACATCATTTTTCTTGTCTATTTAATATATATGTTTCATATCGAAGATGCGTAACTCACATCAAAACGGCCAGGCCTACTGTGCAGCATTTAAGGGGCAAGATGATTCAGAAAACATTGGCCCTGTTTAAATCGAAGAAGGGAAAAGTAACAAGGACTAAAAAGTGATCCTTCGATTACAGGAAAATACTGATTCCCTAGTTTGAAGTTGTCACGACTAGGGTTCGGTGGTAGATCTTATAGCAGTAACGCACCACAAAAAAGGTGATCCCCAACGTTACTGGTTTGAATGGATAAAAATTTACAAAATGGTACGAACTCACCAAGTTTAGCCAATTAAACCTGAAGGCTGCCTGACATGTGTTGATGTAGAAGTCCAAATTTTAGACGAAGCTAGATGAAGATCAATATGAACTAGTCCGGTTAATGGTAGTTACGCGGAATGTCTTCCTTCGATTTGAGATAAACAAATGTTCGGATGTATGTAGTCGATTTTTGATGTGCATTGGCAAGCCTTTTCGTGGCCAATAGTTAGGTTCAACGCTGCGACTCTACGAATGATGGAACTAATGATGAGACGCCTCGTGGAGGTTCTACTTGGCTTCGGAACAGCTTCTCAGCGGCAAATAATTGGGACCTGGAATGAGGAACTAAAAATTGTCTCCTGGGCCTGGTTATGATGATGATGATGATGATGGTCCCACCTCTTACCCCTACAACGATTTGAGCTGGACGATATATCTTTAAGATAGTTAAATATGGCAATTAAACCAGGTTTGCAAACAAAATCGAACTGGTTACAGTTACAGATATAAATTCCCTCTAGAGTTTACAGTTACTTCACAGCGATATAAATGTGGAAAAGCTCAGGCGTCCACCTCTTAGTTCGCCTTTTTGTCCACCTAAAATATTCATAAGTATTACAAGCAATCAAGAGTTAATGAACAATCAACAAAGCATCCTATTACACTAGTAACCTCATCATCTCATCAGTCTCATAATCAATTACAACAGAGACGTTCTCATTTACTCTATTCCGCGAAATTACCATAAACTTAGTTTTACTTGTATTCAATTTCAATTGCTTATACTTTAACCATCTACTTAGAAAATGCAAATCTTCATTCAAGTGTAAAACGGCATCATCTAAATCCTTAGCTGCAATGAATAACACAGTATCATCTGCAAAAAGATTAACGTCGCAAAATCGTAAAACACGTCGCAAGTCATTGATATACATAATAAATAACAGGGGCCCTAATACACTTCGCTGGGGAACTCCAAGGTTATTCCCCACGGGACTGGAAACAGAATCATTAAAAACAGTCCGTTAAGTTCGGTCAGACAAATAGCTTTCAAACCATTTATATGCAGCACTCGTAATTCCAAAGCGCTTGATTGATCTCAACAATAAGGGCCTAGAAATTGTTTCAAAAGCGCGTTTAAGATCCAAAAAAACAGCAACAATCGTATCTTTACACTCCAAGTTATTTTTCCACTTTGCTAACACCAAATTCAACGCGGTTTCCCAAGAATGACCTTCCCGATATCCCGATTGTTCTGGTATCAACAAACTATTACTATTAAAATACTCCAACAGCTGGCCTTTAACAACAAGTTCTAAAATTTTCTCTAGTGTGTGCAACATGTTGATGGGACGAAACTCTTCGGCCTTAATCGTTCCAGCAACTTTTTGAATAGGAACCACTAAGGATTCCTGCCAAATTTGTGGCACATGTCCAGTTTGCAATGATTCATTAATATGGTCCAGCATGATGTGGCCAATGACATGAAAGCAATCTTGAATAACTCTAGCATTAACATTATCTACTCCAGCCAATTTTCCTCATGAAAAACAAATAAGTCTAAGTTCATCTAATGTAATTGGGTGAAAAACTTCAAATCTACAACTACTATTAACTGGCTGTTTTATTTCGTCAGGTTCATCGACCAATTCAATGGATTGATTTATCAATGAAACACTTTCGACAAAATAATCACTAAACTTAGATGCAATTACTTGTTCTGACTGTTCTAATGTGCCATTAAAAGTTATGGACCGCGGTTTGCAATTACTAGGTTTTAATAAAGATTTCAATTTTTTCCATAATTCTTTGCTGTTGTTTTGATGGTGATCAATCTTCCTTTGAACATATTCACAACGAGTTTTCTTTATCGATTGTGAATACTTATTACGCGCGATTGTGTACCTAGTCCAATGATTGTCATTATTTGATCTACAAAACTTTGTGTACCATTTGTCCCTTTTTCTGTTAAAGACGCAAAAGATCCAAATTGTACCAGCTGTTCGAGTTTTTCAAAGAAACAAACTTTTGCTCAACTAGTTGATTGGTACACGTTTTCAAAGCGTTATTAAGAACAGTTACCGGCCGCGAATGGAAAATCCACGCTCCTCTCAACAAGATTCGAAACAGCTTGCTTAGAATATTTCCTCCAGCATTTCAATTTTACAAAATTATCGTTATCGTTAACATGGTCTACGACAATAATCACTAAGGTCTCATGATCGGTTATTTTCAAATCAGTATCCGTAACTGAACAGATGGAATCAAAATTGGAATAAACGTGGTCAATTAAAGTTCTACTGTGGCTGGAAATACGCTTATATTCATTTACCGTTTGTTTAAATTAAAAAACTAAGCTAAACGCTTCAAATGATTCGAATTATGGTTGCCACGCCAATTAATATTAAAATCTCTAGCTAATATATTTAATCTTCTAGAATCAATTAATGTCTCGAGCCAGTTCTCTAAAACTTCAAAAAAATGCTGGTCACTAGAACTGGGACAAGACAAAACACCATAATTACATAGAGGTAACTCTAAGACTAGAAGGTCCCGAAGAAATGGGCTCAACTTTTTGGCTCAGCTCTGGTACTATCTTCGGTCCCAAGCTAATCGATACACCCCTCGAAACAGAGGAAAATCCACTAACCCCTCATTTTATCTGTCAAACTTTCATAGCAAATCAAAACAAACATTGTGTAGTACTAGAATTTCGACTAGAATGGGGTACGTTTATCGTTTACTTGGGACCAATAAGCTATTCAAGTAGTGAGCCAATATTAAATCGTTAGTTTCGTATTGATTGTTGATGCTACGTAGTTTGTTGACAACCCCGCAATATTAAAATACAAAAAATCGAATTGATTCACATTCCTGGAGCTTGGCTGCTATTTATTGAAACGCAAGCTGCTTTTTTTTCTGATCAAAAAGTCTTTTATAAAGCAAACATTCAGAGCTAAATGCGGCATTGTTGACGTCTAAGTTCATTTTACGTTCTTTATTCATTTTCAAACAATTAATGACGTACACTCCGACGTTTTGTGTTGTTGGCTGCACCTAGAGCATCTATCACAATTTTTGCAATCCATGCTCTTGTATCCGAATTCTCCACATTTGAAGCATCTCTACACATTAATCGCGGGAACTATCGAGCACCGATCAAACCCTACATTTACTTTTTTCGCACATAACAAACATTTATACGTATCGACATCACTACTTTTACATCATTTATAGCGATGTCTTCATTTTGACTTTTTAAGTAGTCAATGAAGACCTCGGAGGAAAACTGATCGCTCATGCCCACTATTTTCAATCTTGGCACCGAAGTGGAAACAACAGCACTATATTTTTCACCCAGATTGCTTTCAATACCATTTTTCACATCATTTAGATTAGCTTCTGTTGCACACTCAACAATAATGGAGCCATCTTTACCATTCCTGAAATTACTGATTTTGTGTGTTTTTGGATCTACTTCTTCGCATTTCAAGCTTATTCCACGAAACGAAAATCAATTATTTAATTCATGTCTTTCACTTATACATTTTTGCAAAAGCATCAGCATACATTCCATAAGACAAACCACATAGGTCCTACTAGAATGCATAAAAGGTATGTTTGACCGCTTATACATTTCATTTGACACATGATCTTTATTAACTTTTTGCAAGGCGTCTGCTTATTAGTTGACTTATACATTTTATGAATAATCAGCAATGGAAATTTGCCAAAAGGTATAAGGAGATTTCTATCCGTATGCATATCGCATATTAGCTTATTGCGTGCTCTCAACTTAGTATTCTAGATGCACTTCCACAGTTATTAATTGAGAGCTTTCGATGCCTGTACCATTTCTGCAATAGTATAATTGTGTGGCGAGTATAATAACTCTATTGCCCAGGGAAGTCGAGAAATTTTCCAACCCGAAAAATTCCTATTCCGGACCGGGAATCGAACCCAGCCACCTCCAGCAAGGTCTTGCTTTGTAGCTGCGCCTTTACCGACTGAGCTATGGGAGGCCCCTGTTTTTAACAAGTGGTTTTTAACAGGTGGATTTGAAGTTATCAATTTCATGTTGCAAGTTTTTAGCTCTCATTGAAACCAGTTTTTTTATGGTCACTGTAGAATTTTACCATGTCCTCTTCCGCTACATGTAGCGGGTATGTTTCCACTTCTACTTAGCACGCGCCGAAATGGTACCTTTAGTTATGAAAACCATTTGACATATTCTCGCCTATTTGGAAATCAAATTGTTGACAGCATGAAGTAGAGATTCAGATTGTCGACTGCCCTAATGTTGTTTCCCCGATACAGATTTGAGTTACTGACAAAAGTTGTAGCTAACATTAAAACCAACAAAAGCTTCATACATCATTTTACGGAATTTTGTTGATAACAAAAGTTAGAGGCAAATTAATGAAAATGAATGCAAATGATTTTCCATGCCTGCATATCTATAGAATAATAATAATAACATAAAAATAGAACGGTCTCACCGTATGTCTCCCTATGTTTTCCATTATCCCATCCTGACGACTGCAAGCTGCAGGCATTGAAACTCCACAAAACATGTAACAGAACGATCACGGTACCGGTCCTACTCCATAACATACACAGAACATCATCTGAATCTCTATCATAAACAAGGTGTCCGATTCTTCCGCTCCCGCAGGAGAAACTACTAAACTTCCGACGGAACTGACAACCGAGGAAAACCGATACACAGCTCCGACTTGTGGAATTACATTGAAAATTCACTTGGAAATATTCTTCTTTCGGCCATCAGATCCTGTAGTCACACGCTTTTCTAAAAAAAAAAACATTATCGAGTGACAGCAGAAAATTAAACGCGACGAAAAATCATAGACGAACAATTTGACAACAGGAAAAATGTCGCGTCCGTTTAGAAGCAGGGCACACTTCGATCTACCTGTGCACCAACTCTCAAAACATAAACAATTCAGTGCTAACATTTGAAAACGGCGCAAAAGCCATTTGTAAACAAATGGTTTGTGGGCCCTTTACTCGCTACCCGAAGAACGCCCACGCAAACCAACAGCATCGTCAGGAAGGGGAAAATTTCCCCTACCCGATGTTGCTGTTGTGTCGCGTGGGTGTACTTCAAGTAGTGAGTAAAGGGCCCACAAACCATTTGTTTACAAATGGCTTTTGTGCCGTTTTCAAATGTTAGCACTGAATTATCAAAATATTGCTTGCAATGCATAGTATATTAGTGTATTTTTCAACCGATTCGAGTATGATATGGCATTAAATCTGGTTTTGAAAGTTGATGCACAGGTAAAAAGTGAGGTTACGGGACGCCACCTTCGACCATTTGCAATTCATTTAATAGAATTTGCCTCGCTGAATCAGGATGGAGCAACTACAAAGCAAGACCATGCTGGAGGTGGCTGGGTTCGGTTCCCGGTCTGGCGTGGGAATTTTTTGGGTTGCAAAATTTCTCGACTTCCCTGGGCATAGAAGTCATGATTGTACTTGGCACACAATTATACTAGTGCAATAATGATGGAGAAGTCGTTGTGTCTCATCTGAGCGACAAGTTCATCATGCTGAGTCATCGCAATAACCGAAAGTTGTTGAAACTGACGCCGTTTTTGTTCTCCTCAATTTTTGCAGCAACTTTGAAAAGCATTTAACACTTCCGCAAGCTTATCAACAGCAGCGAAGGCCACGTTTTGTGCCAACGCCCATGAACATATTTTAAGTTCAGCCTCGCTGATTTTATCAAAAGAGGTAGAATCATAATTTTGACTCTAACACCAGTGGCGTGTCCAATCTGGCTGCTGCTTTGCGGTGGCATTTAGTGCTAAGTGGGTTTTCAAATTTTATTTTCCATCACGAGCGATGCCAAGTTTATCTACGCATATTTTGCAGAATGCAAACAGCGTATCATTTTGGTACTTCTCGAAACACATTAGGTCCGGTGAATCAAGCCATTTTAGAGAATATCGATGAATTACCTTTGCTTTCGGTTCTTTTAAGGTTCTGCCTCTTTTCCTTTTAATGCTTTTTGCGGTTTCAGGAGTAGATTTTGATAATTCGTCTGAGTCATTTATATTTGATTGACTGCCATTGGACACATTTGATCGACCTAAAAAACAAGAATAAATTTAGACGACAGGTTTTACTGCTTTACTGAAACCCGGCTTTTTCAACGAGACAGAACCAGTCACTTTGGAGGAACTTGATGGAACGTCTGGCGCGTCTATTTAATAAGAATAAGGTTAAAATGGGAACACTGTATGGATAACTATTATAACAATAATTAAAACAATTAATATCTAAATTCCAAACATATACCTGAACTTTCAACCGTTGAATTAGAAACGGAAAGGTTTGATTTTTCTTTTAGATGTTCCTGCTCAGTTGATGGTTTATCCGGATCGAGTGGAAACTCCTCAGCGAGTGTTGTGAAATTCGCTGTATTCTCCTTCCTGCATGAAAAAATTTGACGTTTGAGCGGTGCCGTGTTTACTAAAAATGAACACATGAATAATACTCGCGTAACATTTAAAAATGGCCTATCAACTTATGTACACAAAACTTGTTAGACATTTTTCGCGCGAACCGAAGTACGCCCATGCAAACCAACAACACCATCGGGTAGGGTGAATTCTCCCCTTACCGATAGTGGTTTGGTTTGCGTGGGTGTTCTTCGGCTCGTGAGAAAAGGGCCTAACAAGTTGTTTGTAAAAGTTGATAGGACTTTTTCTAAAGTTACGCGAGCATTACATCATATGTTCATTTTTAGGAAACACGGCACCGCTCAAAAGTCGTACTGCCCATCACGGTGTGCTCAACTGATGGCGCTAGTGCTTTTGCTGCGATGTTTTACAATGAGAAATATTCAATGTGTCATGCCTGTTTGTCTGTGGTGTTAGTTTAGTACTTAAACTAGCATTTTGACCCAAACAATCCCAGAATTAAGAGCGGAATAGCTATGAAAAACCAAATCGGGCGTTTTATCCGGGGTGCATTTGTCCCCTGTTCCACCCTAAAGGTTCCCGGCACCCAAGTGGGACGAAATCAAAAAAGTGCCGAAACTATTGAGTGTATAGCATGTCTTCTAGAATGTTTCTTCATTTGTTGAGTACTTGGTTTGAGTGGTGAAAATGTTTGCTTTTGGGGGGGTGTACACTTATATAAAAAACAACTGCTAGTGAATGATGCCTTCACATCATCCATGCACCGATCACCGCTGAATCTTCTCAGCATTCCGTCGGATCTTCTTTAAACTGCACCAACTCACAAACCGCCTTCTTATCCTTATCAGCAGTCCAGCCAGTCGAGCACTCTCTGTCGAAAACCGTCTTCCAACTAGGAACGACAGCTCCGACTCGGTCGTCGACTCACTCGTCTTTTCCCACCTTATGCAATTGATTCTTGAGTTTCACATTTACCAAAATTCGTCCCCAATCACAGCATTCCAAATATCATCCAGCGGAAATCTAAACAGGATAAATAAAGAAAAAAATTGCATCGGATCAGATTAAAATTCAGATCACATAACCAGTTACTCACCCCTCACTTCAATTCCTCCCATTTTAGCAATCCACGTACGTGCGGAACGCCTTCCTTATAAACTCGCCGCTTCTGGTGGACTCCTTTCTTCTGTTGAGTGGATTCCTATTCGCGCGCCTTCTACTAATCGAGCTGGACAAACGCCACGGCAAGGTCAACTTTGGCCTGCTGTACATCTTCCGCTACATGCGGTTGACTCCGGCGTATGGCGCCATCATTGCCCTGTACGCCACGTGGCTTCCGCGGCTGGGCAGCGGTCCCCTATGGGATCAACAAATGCAGCTGGAACAGGCCCGCTGTCGAGAGAGCTGGTGGCGAAACGCACTCTACATCAACAACTACCTCGGAACGGATCGGATCTGTATGTTCCAGTCTTGGTACCTGGCGGCAGATTCACAACTGTTCGTCCTGGCACCACTGCTGCTGTATCCTTTGTGGCGGTACGGTAGACGAGTGGGCGCGGCTCTGCTCGCGACGGTGGCGTTTATTTCCATAGCTATTCCATTCTTTGTGACCTACTACGGAAAGCTGGATCCATCGCTGATGATCTTTGTGGAGTGAGTTAAAGAAATTGTGTGTGTTTTTTTTTGTGATAGGTGAATATCGATTTTCTGTTGCAGCGAAGTGACCGACTTGACCTCCAACTGGTATTTCGCAAACGTCTACGTAAAGACGCATATGCGAGCGACGGGCTACATCTTCGGACTGGCTGTGGGCTATCTGGTGCACATTATGCAACAGCAAAAGTAGGACTAACAGGTAAAATTCCTAGATCTAGCTTCTTATCATTATTTTACCCGCACAGCATAACGATCGGCAAGCGTAAATTGTTCTTCTGCTGGGTGGCTTCAACGGTAATCGGAACGGTATCGATGTTCGGCATTTCCATGTTCTACCAATCGACCGGAACGGATAACTACCTGTACAATGCCCTCTACGCGGCACTGCATCGGCTGGGCTGGAGCATGTCCAATGGATGGCTAGTGCTAGCTTGTGTCACCGGTCACGCTGGACCGCTGAAGAAGTTCCTCTCTTCACGAGTACTGGTCCCGATCAGCCGGTTAACCTACTGCGCCTACCTGACGAACGGGTTGGTGGAACTGTACTTTACTGCCTCCCAGAGGGTCCCTCTGTACGGGGATGTGGTCGGCCTGGTAAGCATTACGCCCAATCTTGTACATGAAGCCTATTAAGAGTTGTGTTTTCCATTCCGTAGACGACGGTAACCCTTTCGCACGTGGTTCTCACCTTCCTGGCGGCCCTGGTGCTGTGTTTGGTGTTTGAATCGCCCATTCATGGGATCGAGAAGATCGTCCTGCGGCGGGCACGTCCGGTCAGTGGTCGGGCCACGAACAATCACCACTACAGCCCAGAATCAGATGGTAACGGTTCTGTCGCCAACAACAGCATCGGAACGGCTTCTACCCAAAGCACATCGGACGATTCGGGTGCGTGATACGAGCTGCATTGGTGAACAATATTAATAGGTTAAGTGAAATGGCTTCTGAGATAGCTAGCGAAAGTGATTTTTTTTTCCTATCATTTAAGTATTATGTGACTAGTTTTTAGAAGGGAGGTGATATGATAAAGTTAAGAATTTAGTGGTTGCAGTTGACCCACTGTTTTGTTTTTTTTTTCTTCTTTAGAATAGAGTTCGTTTCTTGTACTAGCGTACAACTTTCCATGGAACTTTAACCAATTTTCCATATCAATAAAAAACCAATCACCTGCTTATTTTTAATCAAATGTCTTTTGAGTTCTTCAATTTTGTTTTCGTTTGCTCGGCAGTCCCGGTTAGTCGTCCCACGTACGCCACTGGCGGCGCCTATACGGGGGACTGAACGAAGAACTTCTGTTGGTGGTCGTAGTAGTTGTGACTTCTGGTTTCTCTTTTTCGTGTTCTTCTTCGTCCTTGGACTGGCTGCCGGTTGGTCTGCGGATGACTTCCTTTTCCTCGTCAATTTCCTCTTCCTCTTCTTCGTCTTCTTCTTCTTCTTCCTCCTCTTCCTCTTCTTCCACTTCGACTTCTTCTACTTCTTCCTCTTCGGTCTCCATGGTGGTTTTCGTTGGGGACGGGGCCTTGAAAACGGGTTTCGGGACGGTGCTACAAAGAGTGAACGATTTTCAAATGAGATGTGGACGACATTAAAATAAATCCCATATTGATTCCCCTAGCCAGCAGTGCGTGCCTTTCTTTTATCGAAAAGGTAGATATGCGAAATGAACTTGACTTTTTATCCTTTCGAGCCCACATGGTCATATATGATTGATTGCATAAAATCAAACGTAATATGTAGCTACATACTTTCTTCAGCAAAGTTGTAGTTGCGGGTGTCAGCTATACAGGAAAAATATGATCAACTCAAAGGCCTAGATCGCCAAAACCATATAAAGTTATTATGTTAACGAACACATACTTTAATCTGGGCAGCGACGATATCTTTAGCAACACTGCCATGTTGATTAAACCCAATTTGATAATTTTAGATGGATTTGTTTGGCTGCAACATGTTCTACGTACTCCAAATTGTCCAGAAGTTCAGGCTATTTGATCTACTGGATCAACCAAGGCCTGCGCGATGTCCTCAGTTTTAATACCTACCCAAACATGTTCATAGAGTTTTTGAGCATCGCTTATAATCTCTTTTGATGTTTATAAGATGATCAAGGTTCTCCAGATTATCCTGGAGTTCAGATCAAATGATCAACTAGATCAAAAACGACTGATTAATTACGAAACAACTCCAAACAGGTTCATAGAGATTATGCACATCATTTACGTTTCAATTCCATGTGTATAAGGTGTTTTAGGACCTCCAAATTAGCCAGGAGTTCAACCTATTTGATCTACTGGATCAACCAAGGCCTGTGCGATGTCCTCAGTGAGAATACCTACCCAAAAATGTTGATTGAGATTTTGCACATCACTTATAATTTCTTTTGATGTGTATAAGATGCTCGAGGATTTCCAAATTATCCTGGAGTTCCGACCAAATGATCTACCGTATCAACGAAGACTGATACATTTCCCTTAGTTACGCAACAACTCCAAACAGGTTCATAGAGATTATGTACATCATTAAGGTTTCCATTCCATGTGCATAAGGTGTTCAATGTTCTCAAAACTGTCCTACTATTTGATCTACTGGATCACTCACGGCCTGCACGAAGTCCTCAGTGATGATACCCTGCCCTTCCCCAACAAAGCCACTTTCAATCGAAAATCATCAAGTGACTTTCAATTTCGAGCAGGTCCCCTTCAACATCAACAGAACCACTTTCGATCAGTTTTCATGCTGTTTGTTTTGGCTCGACTCGTGTTCATTTCGTCTTTCATTGTCAAATGAAGTTGCTTTCCCATTGAAGCGAGACTGTTCGATTCAAATTCGCGCAGTTTTCTGACTTTTGTAGATTGTTCACTCAGTTCATTTAAGCGCATGCGCATAGATCTGTGCACGTGGATGTCAAATTTACCATGGGTATTTTTGTAACCGGGATGACCGGAAATCGATGGCCTACGCCATTTTGAAATCCAAGATGGCGGTTTCCGATTTCAGATAAGGTGGGAAATACTGACTCCTACCCATCAATATGGGTATTTTTGGAATCGGGTGACGTCTATATAGAGAACGAAAATGGATATACGGCTTCCAGTTTAAGAAAAAGTGGGAAATACCAACAATCAATACGAAATTAACGATTTTAAATTGGCTCCCTACTTGACTAGCCTATTGGTCCCAAGTACTTCTATAAGCGTACCCCATTCTTGTCAAAATTCTAGTACTACACTATGTTTGTTTTGATTCGCTATGAAAGTTTGACCGATAAAATGAGGGGTTAGTGGATTTTCCTATGTTTCGAGGGGTGAATTGATTAGCTTGGGACCGAAGATAGTACCAGAGCTGATCCAAAAAGTTGAGCACGTTTCTTCGAGACCTTTTGCTCTTAGAGTTACCTCTATGGAAATACTGTCACATACCCATAAATATAGGTATTTTTGGAATCGGCATGTCGTCTAGAGGCCGGAAATCGATGTCCGACACTATTTTGAAATCAAAGATGGCGGCTTCAGATTTCAGGAAGAGTGGGTAATACCAATACTGTCAAATACTTATCAATCTGTTTATTTTTGGAATCGGGATGACATCTAGAAAATGGGAATCGATCACCGACGCCATTTTAAATAACATGATGGCGGCTTCCGGTTTAAGAAAACTGGGATATGCTTTCAAATACCCATCAATATACGTATTTTTGGAATCGGGGAAGATGTCTAGAGGATGAAAATCGATATCCGACGCCATTTTTAAATCCATGATGGCAGCTTCCGGCTTAAGAAAAAGTGGGAAATACTGTCGACTTTTAATCCTTTCGAGCCCGAAATCCAAGATGGCGGTTTCCGATTTCAGATAAAGTGTGAAATACTGACTCCTACCCATCAATATGGGTATTTTTGCAATGGGGTGACGTCTATATAGAGAACGAAAATGGATATACGACGCCATTTTGAAAAAATGGCGGCTTCGAGTTTAAGAAAAAGTGGGAAATACTGTGACATACCCATCAATATAGGTATTTTTGGAATCGGCATGTCGTCTAGAGGCCGGAAATCGATGGCCGACCCTATTTTGAAATCCAAGATAGCGACTTCAGATTTCAGGAAAAGTGGGAAATACTGTGAAATACTTATCAATCTGGGTATTTTTGGAATCGGGATGACATCTAGAGGATGGGAATCGATCATCGACGTCATTTCAAATTCCATGATGGCGGCTTAAGAAAACTGGGATATGCTTTCAAAAGGATTCAAAGAGGATGAAAATCTATATTCTACACCATTTTGAAATCCAAGATGGTGGCTTCCAGTTTAAGAAAAATGGGAAATATTGTCGAATTTCTATCAATATAGGAATTTTTAGAATCGGGATGATGTCTAGAGAAAGAAAATCAATATTCAACGGCATTTTGAAATTCAAGATGGAGGCTTACAATTTCAGAAAAAAGTGGGAAATACTGTAAAATACCCAACAACATGGGTATTTTTGGAATCAAGGTGACGTCTAGATATTGAACATATATGTGCGACGCGATTGTTAAATCCAACTTCAAGAAATATTGGAAATACTGTCAAATACCCATCAATATCAGTATTTTTTTAAATCTGGATGACGGCTTCCAGTTTAAGAAAGTGGGAAATTATATCAAATAGGGGAATTTACGTATTCTCGGCAACCTAAGCAGCGACCTTATTTCTATAGCCCTTTTCTCTAAGGAACGCACACATATGCAGTATTGGTTTGTTTACAATCTTTTGCTGCCAGCTGCTCTAACAATTTCAGTCGAAAGAATTGTCAAAAACTGTTTTGAAACGCTTTTACAAAGCTCCAATCTTCTCTAGTGAGAGCGAGTATTGTCGGCAACCAGTTTTTCTTCGGCAACCGTTCCATTTGAACTGCATGTAAATCTGCTGTTCTATTATCGGCAACTCGAAATCAGCTACAATTTGTAGTGCGTTTGTTTCATTTCAAGAAAACCCTGCTAGATTGCTTTTTCTCAGTGGTAAAAATATAGTCAAATTGAAGCTGAAAGCATAAAGAATCGTTTGCATGCATTCAGCGAAGTGTTTTCGTAAGAAAATCCAGTGAAAATAGTGTTTCAATTTGTGTTGCCGAAAATAGTCTGTCATGCCGAAGCCGTCATTTCCCCTACCTATACGTTTATTTTAAGAATCGGGGTAACGTCTAGAAGCCGGAAATTGATATCCGACTCAATTTTGAAATCCAAGACGACGGCTTCCGATTTGAGGAAAAGTGTCAAATCAAGCTGTACATTGCGTTAGGTTCTAAGTAGCGTTGATCGATTCCCTTCGTCGACTTTTCTCTTTCGTAAATAACTTGAGAAAATAACCGTTTCTTGTTGTGTTTGTCAAATTATATGCTAGATAAAAATACCTGGGAATGTCATTACATGGCCGTTGGGGAACAAAGAGAAAGTCGACGAAGAGAATCTGTCAATGTTACTTAGGACCTTATGCAATGTTCAGCTGGAAATACCCTAAAATATTGATATCTTCGGAACAGGGATGACACTTAGATGCCGAGAATTGATGTCAAACGCCTTCTTGAAATCCAAGATGGCGACTTCTGGTTTTCATAAAAAGTGAGAAATACTGTCAAATACCCATCAATATAGGTATTATTGAAATTTCAGTAACTTCTAGAGGCCAGAAACCGATGTTTGACGCCATTTTAAAATCTAAGATGGTGGCTTTGGTTCAGAAAAAGTGTGAAAAACTGTCAAATATCGATCAATGTGGGAACTTTTGGAATCGGGTTCTAGAGGCTGTAAATCAATGCCGCCATCTTGAAATTCAACATGATGGCCTCCGATTTCAAAAGAAGTGTTAAATACCCTACAAATGCGTCGAATATCTATTCTCAGCATCTACACGTCGTTCCCGTTCCGAAAATACCCATACCTTAGTGGTAGCACAGGGACATCGACTGATTGAACGGTTGAATTAGCAACCCGGCCGTCTGAACATCACGACACGAGCGGCGAGTCTACGCGCGACAAACTCTCTGTGTCGAAACGTCAGTCTGCAGGAACGAAAAAGAAATAATTGAACGAGATACACGCGGGTGAAAAATTACTAAAGAAAGTTAAATTAGTTAATCCTACTTACATCTAGCTTCAATCTAAATAGTTACTACGGGTAGTGAAGGTAAATTAGACTTAAAAACTTAAACAAGAATTACATCTACTTAGGATTATACAGCTAGCGGTTGAATGCTGACCAGAAAGGCCATTCGAGCAAAAATCGCCACTGAATTGTAAGTTCTATTCTAACCTAAAACCAACTTGTAAAACTAAACCAAAATCAAATTATAAATTTGAAACACATACACAAAATTAAATATATAAGCTGTTCGGATATCAGTGCGGGCTTTTCACTTCTCATCGATTCAACACTTAGCGTATTTGATACTTTTTCTGAAACCCGATGGCCACCATCTTAGATTCCAAAATGGTGTCGAATATCGATTTTCGGCATCTACGCGTCCCCGTTCTGAAAATACTCAACCGACAACCGATATTGTGCAGATACTATCCGGATACTACATATATTTTGATGATGCCTGACGACGCAACGCGTGACAAGTCAAATGAGCCCCGAATTGAAGTGAAAGTGAAATTGCGTCAATTGAAACAAATCTTAGCTTCAAATGAAATGAACTGATGATCTTGACGAACACAAACAAGCGATAGCCAAGTCATGTTTGACAGGAGGAATGTTCATCGTGACTCGATAACAAGAACCATAATGACTTACACGAAAATTATATTGCTCGAAATGAAGCGATTCTACGGAGAGTTCATTTTCTTTTCTTTGTTTCGAAAATGCAGAACCCTGGACACAAGTCCAAACAAGTTCATAGAGTTTTTGTGCCTCACTTATAGTCAATTTTGATGTCTCGGAGTTGATGCGGATCATGCCGAGAATTTGATGGCTGGTTGTACGACGTAACTTAAAGAAGTTGATCGTTTCAACAGATCAGTGGGGTCAGTAACTAACTGTCCAGTGCATGCCTTGCTTGATCCTGGAGATCAAGTAATCTGAACTCCAGGACAGTTTGGAGAACATCTAGAACATCTTATGCACATGCCATATTCTTTTTCTTCGCATTTGAAGCTTATTGCTTATCGCATAGTAGCTTATTGCGTTCTCTCAACTTAGTGTTCTAGATGCACTTCCACAGTTATTAATTAAGAGCTTCCGATGCCTGTACTATTTTTACATTAGCATAATTGTGTGACAAGATCAATCATACTCTATGCCCAGGGAAGTCGAGAAATTTTCCAACCCGAAAAATTCCTAGATCGGACCGGGAATCGAACCCAGCCACCCCCAGCATGGTCTTGCTTTGTAGCTGTGCCTTTACCGACTGAGCTAAGTTAGGCCCCATGCAAATGTCACGTTTAAGCTATTTGTCAATTTAACGACGAGCTGTTCCAGCCTTGATGGTCCGATACAGATTCACAATAATTTTTTATGATCATCGGATTTATATGCACAAAATAGCAAATGTTGCTTCACCCATTTCCTGTTGCATTAACAATGGGTGGTTGAATTTTTAATGGTATTTACTGCTTTGGTATTCGAATCGATGTCTGTGTTAGTGATCCGCTATCGGCTCGTCTGTACACTCTCGAAAGTCATGGCAAGAAAGCGCATGATTAGATAAATTCGGTCATAAAGTTAGATCAATTTTCAATTATGTGCTATTTATAAACAATTAAAAATTTAATAACAAAAATTGTTTGATAAATTCTTCGTCGAATGTCGGCCGAATGACATATTTCCCATTGATGCTTTTGAGAAATGTGCATTTGAAAACTGCCGCTTTTTCGTTACAAGCCTCATTTTCGATTTCGTAATGTGACCCCCAGTAAATAAAGACGTAGGCCTACGTCAAAATCTGAAGCTGACCGTCAAACCCACTGTAGTTAATTCATAATTCATATTCAGTTATCTCGTCAGGCTTGAAGGTATGCTGACCAGAAAGCAAAAGAGAGTGAAGGAGAGAAGGCCGTAAGGCTTAAACATCAAAAAACATATCATATACGGATTAACTCACCTTTCCTCATCATCATCCCAGAACCCTTTGGTGGGCGTCTCTGGCTTCGGTTCCGGCTCCGGAGTCTGCCGCTTCCTCACCTGACGTGGCGTAAAGTCATCGTCCCGATCATCGAACGGACTGGCAAAGTCATCCTCCACCTTCTTCTCCTCTGCCTCTTCCTCCTCTATCACCGTCTTCTCGCCTTGTTCATCGAGATCAGAGGCAGCGTTTCCATTTTCCACCGGCTTCTCCGTCGACGAAGTTCCATTTTGAACTACTTCCTCATGTCCGTCCTCCTTCGGAGGAGCCAACACCACCACGGTGGTGTCCTTCTTCTCCATCCGATCGAACACTCCCGACCGATCGAGCATCGCCTTGATGTTCTGAACAGGCAGGTCGTACAGAAGCGTTAGCACAGTTCCTCCAACAAGCAACAGACATATTTCGGTGCGATTCAGGTATCCGGACCAGCTGAACACCTCACTACCGCGGGTCGTTCCGGCAAAGTAAAAGAACACCAGGAACTGCATCAACGATACCGAGTAGGAGATCTTACTCAGGAAGGTCATCAGGCGACAGCTTAAGAGGCGGTTCAGCAGGCTACCTTCGTGGGTATAGCAATAGTAGATGATCCAGCATATGGACAGCGCCCATGAGAGAGGTGCCAGTGCAGCGTACTGTGCCGCATCCCCTATATCGTACTGGAAGTCCTTGTCAGCAGTGTCCAGTGGGAATATAAAGCACCAGCCGACGGCGATCGACATACCGATCCAACCGCTCATACGGATTCCGCGATCGACCTGCTTGCGGATGTCGCCCTCCCGGAGAAGATAACCTAGGCCAAAACCAGCCAGATAGGGCGTTGCACGGTGCAGGGTTTCCGAGAAGCTCAGATTGACGGTACGGTAGATCTGCGTCAGCCGGATTCCGTGGTAGATGTAAGGCGAGAGGCGATCTTCCGTTGTGGAAACGAATCGCATCGCAGTGGAGAGACCGTGTAGCAAGACAAACGCTGCAACGCCGTAGGATGGGTTCGCGGTCAGGATGATGAGCAACAGTGGTGCCAGGATGGCCAGCTGCATCTCGATTGCCAACTGGAAGGTGTGAGGAGCGCACTGAAATTCGAAAATTTGGACTTGAAAGCTGGATTAAGATGGGCAAGAATTTGCAGAACATACGCATTCCTCTACCGGGTACCAGTTCTGGACGAAGAGGATGTTGTTCCAGAAATTGTGTTTGCACAGATTGGCGTTCTTGACGACGACGTCACCCCACTGGGGTCCGTTTCCGAGATGTTCCCAGACGACGGAGTAGAAGATCAGCACCGGAATCAAGGGCACAGTCAATCTGAAAGGAAGAGTTGTTTGATGTAAAATTCAAAAATTGACGTTAGCCCGGGACACTAACCTTAAATACCGTCCAACAATCCGACGGAACCAGGCAATCTTTTGCTTCTGCTGGTACTCGCCAACCATATGGAAGGCAGCGAGGAAGCCACTGACCACCAGGTAGACATCGGCGTAAAGCATCAAAACCCGCAAGGCCACACTCCACGGGGTATTTAAGCTTTCGGTGAATTCGTTCCGATTGGTGAACGGTTGAAAGCCCATCGGAATCAGACGAAGGGCACAGAACAGACCGATCGTTGCAAGAGCGCGTAGTCCCGAAAGGCACCCTACGACTTCCTTGCCGGCAAGGGTTTCGTCGTCTCCGCCTATCAACTGACGCATGGTACGCTTAATCGAGAAGGACATCAGCGTCTGGTGGAGCAGGTTGGAGTCTTCGCTAGGTTCGGTTGGGGTTGATTCGTCATTGTTTTCGTCAGTGGATTTCTGCGAAGCAGGAAGCTTTGTATGGGGTTCGATTTGAATGATACCGAAATCGTTCAGGGATGCCACCACGGTGACGACTACGATGAAGGTGTAGAAGCCCCTGTAGAATTGAGATAAACAATAGATCGTTGGTTGACACCGAAGGGAAAATAAAAGAAACTTACAGCGTGGCAACTAGTCGCCAGTTTTCCTTGAACAGCTTGGTCCACGTGGTAGTTTGGCGCACGTGGCAGTTGCCCTCTTCGATTTCCAAGAACAACTTGATCCCGGTCGTGTTGTATGGTTTAACAAAGTTCTTAATTATGCTACCGGCGTCTTCGTAGTTGCAAGCTGCCGGCAGACAGATGCCCCAGTTGATCGTAGTAAAGCGGGGCAGGAAGTGGTCCGGCTGGAAGGTGTAAGAACAGGTTATGATCAATTGTGTGCGATCACACCCTGAATACTCACATCGTTCAGTGTACTCTTGATAAAGCCTCTGCCCTGGAGCAAGTGTACCGGCAACTTTAGGTCATCATCCTCGGCTACCACGTCGATATGTGCGAGACAGTACTTACCTCGCATCCGGACCTGCTCGTCCTCTTTCACCTTGACTTTGGTAGCGATTCCGGTGCATAGATCGTAATCACCCAGCTGATTGGCATTGCCTCGCAGCAGACCGGAAGTCACCTTGGCACTGGCGTCGATCATCTGCAGAGCCCAGAGACGCTTTCCGCGCAGCTGACGCTGGAAGATCTGTCCTTGACGGCGGCATTCATTGTTCTTCAGCCGCGAATAGTCCGGAACGAAGGATGGAATCCGGAGCAGAAGCGATTCGAAGTCTTCTGGGGATATTTCGATGCGTTGCTTGACGACCTTGGACGGAGTGTGCTGAAGCTTTTTGATCTTCTTCGGGTCGGTTTGAATGGGAGCTTCCGACGGGATGTCATCCGATTTGAACAACGAGTTCAACGGACTTGTGTTGAGCAATTGGACGATTTTGGAATCCTTGGTTTTCTTCTGCTTGGGCTTCTCAGCAGAGCTGTCTTCATCTTCTTCGTTTTCGGCACCAACTTTACGGAACTTGATTTCCTCACTGGTTTCTTCCTTGTCCGATTGCAGAAGGCTGCTAACAAAGTTGATCAGAGGATTTTCCTTTTCTTTATCTTCATCATCGTCGTCGTCGTCGTCGTCTTTATCGGTGCCATGTTTATCGTTATCGTGATCGTCATCGTCGACTTTGTCGGTCAACTTCTTCAACCATGCGAAAATTCCACCTTCTTTTTCATCATCCTCATCGTCGTCGTCGTCGTCGTCTTCAACAGAACTGTCTTTGTAAACTTCCTTCTTAATATCTTTTTCTTTGTATGAGCCTTCGCTTATTTGATCTTTAAGCCACCCAAACAATCCACCACTTTCCTTTTCATCTTCTTCGTCGTCGTCATCGTCTTGTTCATCTTTTACCACAACATCCTTCTTCTTCTGATGTTTCACATGAACTTCCTCCTTATCTTCTACACTTCCCTTACTCTTCTTCGATCCTAGCAAACCGTAGAGATTAAAAATCGATTTCTCTTCTTCATCGTCGTCCTCGTCGTCATCGTCCACTGCCGGCTTGCTCACCTTGATCTTACTTGATTTTACCTCGTCCTTGAAGTGAGCCCTCGTACCATCCGCTTTCTTCTTCTGTTCTGGAGACAACCTGTAGCTTCTTCGCACTCTCTCAAACTTGTACTTGCTCTCAGCGGCCCGTTCCTCCTCCTCCTCATCTTCGTCGTCCTCCATTCCTTCTTCCTCATCATCATCGTCATCGTCGTCGTCGTCGTCCTGGTCTACAACCACCCGCTTCTTGACCTCTTGCATTACGACCCTTCTGCCTTGGATCTTCTTCTTGGCAAACGCAACCGACGCCCGTTGGTTATCATCAACCTCGAAGTCACGTAACCGGAAACCATCGCCACTGGCGACGAGGCATGCCACCAGCACGGCTGCGACCATCAACAGGAACCACGGTCGAAAGAACACGGCCATCTTTGAACTGATCTCGAATTTTTCTTTTCGCTACCTTAACCAACGTTATTCATATCACCTTTCGCGGATCTTACACCTACCGGATCGTAAATCAAACACCTCTATCAACTATAATTATAATCGAACAAAAGACAAATGCACTACGCCAAAAGTCGGAAAATGCCACCGTTTTTTTCCCTATCGTTTCTAAGCTGCGGAAAAATTTCCTTAAATAACTAAAATTATGTGCGCGATATTTCGATGTTGGACAGTGAGACGGAGAGCAGTGCGCGCGCGAACGAACCGTAAACCACCGACGTCTTTTTTGATCGAGCGACTTTCTGCGACAAATTTAAGCCGTCTCCATCGAGAACGATGGGAAGAAAATATGTGTGTGGGAAAATTTCTCACGTCCTCGCTCGCTCGCTCTCTCTCTCTCTCTGTTGTCGGGAAATTTACTCACCTATGATCGCCGGTGCCTGTGGCTTGCCGTGGTGAAAATCGGAAAATGGTTACTGGAAGAGTGACTCAAGTCGACCAAAAACTATAGCCTTCAGCGATGTAGTAACAGTGTAACATAACTCAGAGCCTTGGAACGATGCATCTGAAGCCAGAGACTGCGATATCAGAGACTGGGAACGGGGGGGGGGGGGTCCATTGTAAACATAGCGATTATGACGTCCGGTTGTGTTGGTGCACTGTGTGAGAGTGTGGTAGTGACAATCCGAGGAAACAAGCCGCTGTCAAACTAAATTTGACAGATCGAATTCCATACATTTTGAGGTTAATGCCTATGAAAAAAGATAGATAAAGTGAGCGTGCGTTAAACGTTACTAATCGACACTCGGTGAGACCGGCGCTTTCATGCGGCTGTCAAAACAAATCAACATAAACATAACAAACGCAATCAAGGATTATTCAAAAAAACATTGTCTTCCTCAACGTGAAAAGTGTTTGCTCCGCAATGGGCGCATGAAAATCGGGAAAAATACAGTGAAAAATCGAGTGATTCCGTTCAAAACCAGTGACATTCGGTTCCCCGCACTGCCGGGCGCTGTATAGAAAATGCTATTTTCAGGGGAAAAGTTAAATTCGTCAGGAAATCTACGATTCTCTCAAACCTTTGGCGAGTCTAACCTCGATTCGTCGGCGAAAAGTAGGAAAAACGGTCGACGTGTTGCTGATCAACAAGCCTGAGCAGACGCCTTTGTACTTTGTCGTGGAAAAAGAAAGAATAAATCTGGGAATAAAACGGATCCAAGGGACACTTCGTGGTGCTGGCAGGGGTTCTGCCATTCGGTGGCATTCCACACGGCCTTCGTAGAAGCAGTGATAGTAGGAGTGTAATCATTCGATAACGATTCGGTAGCAGGTAGGACGATCAGGAGAATAGCAAGAACAAACAGGGGAAGGTTCATAGTGTAGGGTGACCAGAGTAAGCAAGTGACAAATCAGTCGTCGGCAAAATGCCTTCCGGTAGCTCTAGGAGAACAGAAGAGGACACTGGAGAGCAGAAAAACGGCACATGGGAGGATAACCAGGCAATCTCAAAAGATGAAGGAAGACAGCACTGGAGCTATGGACAGCCAAAACCAACCGCCGGACGATCCAACCACGGGCGGCGACCCGGTACCTGATCCCCCCAACTCGGTCATACTCGAGCTTGTCGACACAGAGAAGGACTTCCCAAAACATCCAGCACATCTCGGGAAGATCCTCATGGAGAAGGGGTTCACCAGATTCAGCGAAGTCAACAAGCTAGGTAAATTCAGATTCAAAATTGATACCCTAGCGGTACTAGACGTCAACCGGCTGAACCTAGAGAGGCACAACCTCAGGGTGTACGAGCCCAGAAGAAACAACTCTACCATCGTATTCATCCGAGGAGTACCTCCGACATTCGAGGAAGAAGAAATGGCGGAGCACGTTGAAGCGGACTACCCGATCACCAAGATAGAGAGGATAAAAAGAAGAGGCGCAAACGGGGAACTACAGGCAACATACAACATCAAAGTTACAGTGGAAGGAGGGCAAGTGCCAAAGAGCGTCAAAATCTTCGGATGCAGTTTCAGAGCAGAGCTGTACATCTTCCCGGTTCGACAGTGCAAGAATTGCTGGAGATTTGGTCATGGGGCCAAATATTGTACGTCTCGCACACGCTGCGGGTCCTGCGGAGAGAGCCACGCAACAATGGACTACAATAGGGCGGCAAAATGCCCGAACTGCAAACGAAACCACAAAGCAGAAGACCCACAATGCCCAGAAAAACAGCGGCGCCACAACATTCACCAGGCGATGAAAGAGAAACAGATATCTTTCAAACAAGCAGAATCCCATTTTCCAAGGTTGGAAAATCGCTTTAGCCCGCTTGAGGGTCTGGAAGAAGCGTCCTTTCCAAGACTCGAAGATGGAGAACAGGTAGACCAGCGCAGCGAAGAACGAAGCAACACCCACCGAACAGGTGCCGGCCCTCCCAGGTCCAGAAGGATGAGCCGAGACGGACAAAACCCGGTTGAAACCTCGTCCCAACCTTGGATCACCCCACTTAGAGAACCCTGCCTAAGATGCCTGGCAAACCCGCATAAAGCAACGGAATTCGAGAAGGTAACCGCTTGGTTGAGACAAGAGTTCCTGGCGGTAGCACGAGCCAAACGGTGGCTAATAGGGTTGAGAAACCTACAACTCAAAATAGCCCAAAGGATACAGCAAGTCGATTCGGAACTAGACAGGGACCACCTGCTAATAGAGATTGGCAGCGACCTACAGGAAATCATGGAAAGCGACATCCTCACAACAACAGATCACCTTAGAACCAACCAGAGCAACCACAGTGGAGTGTAAGAAGCTAAAAATCCTGCAACACAATGTCCAGAGCCTTCGCCCGACATAAACCCGAGAAGAACTCAGTCACTACCTTACGGAGAATTCCATCAAGGTGGCCCTGTTGGAGGAGATATGGCTAAAAAAAGAAGAACCGTTCAGACTCGCTCGCTATAAACTAGAATCCACCAGGAGAAACCAAGGATACGGCGGGGTTGGCATCCTGATACACGATAGCCTCGACTACGAAAGATTGGATCTGGAAGACCTCCTCCCGGTCGAAGTGGTCGGAATCAAAATTATCAAAGGATTTGACCCTATTTCTCTAATCTCGGTCTACGTTCCCCCGGGACAAAGTGTTTCTAGCGAAACAAAAACAAAAATCCAGGAATTCTTCGAAGTCGCGGAACATATGAGAGGAGAAGTGCTGATTGGAGGGGACTTCAACGGCCACCATCATTCTTGGGATTTTTCATCGGCCAACTGTCCGAAGGGCAACCTCATAAACAGCATTTTGGGTTCGTCAAGATTCATTCTTCTGAACGATGGTTCCCCAACCTGCATGACTACGGTCCATAGGAATAGCTCAGCGATTGACCTTTCCATGGCCACTAGTGGTCTAGCCATTAAAACTACCTGGGAGGTCGTCCCTCAAGAGCAATCATCTATCCATTCAGATCGAAATAGGAAGTGAGATCCCGGTCGTATCTGGCAAAATGATCCGAATCAACAAATCCAAGGCAGCAGAGCTAATAAACCAGCTTAAACCTCAATTCATCTACAATCCAGAGGAAATGCAATCGATCTTCGAGGAGAGCTGTGAAGAAGCCAGCTTCGTAGTCAGGGACAAAAAGGGCAACTACCTTAAGTGATGGTGGACAAAGGAGATCGAAGAAGCCTACAAGACCAAGCGAGGCATATTAAGGGAATACAACAGGCTCAAAACAGCAACCAACTATATCAACCTCCAGAGAGCAAGGGCGGTGCTGAAAAGACTCATCCTGAAGGCAAAGAGAGCCTATTGCCGGGAACTCGCCGAGGCAGTAGACGAATCCACCCCCACAAAACAGCTCTGGAACATAATCAAGGGATTGGACACAGCGCTAACTCAACCTGTAGGACGAAAACCGGAAATCACCCTGGACGACGCCGAACAATTCATGGCACACTACTACGACCACAAGCTGAAGACCGTATACTAACCTATAGTGGAAACTGCCACAGAGCTAGGAGGCTACGAGATGGCACTGGCGATTGAAGAAACATTAGGAGCCCTTCGGAGAAAGAAACCCCATTCTGCCCCAGGAGAAGACGGCATGTCATATGGCATACTAAAAAACCTAAGACAAGACATGCAAATCAAGGTGTGCGAAATGCTGAACGAAGTGTTCGTCACCGAAAGAATCAAGGAAAGATGGAGAACGACGCTAATTAAACTCATTCCTAAACATAAAGGAGATCCTCTTAACCCAGCCTCCAGTCGCCCCATAGCTCTCATGAACGTCAACCTCAAACTCATTAACTCTGCTGTCAACAGTAGGCTGGCAGAAATCGCCGAAATAAAGAATCTGCATCCTCCTCAATCCTTCGGTTTTCGAAAGAACTGCTCCGCCCAAAGCTGCGTGAACTACGTCGTAAACAGGATCAAGGACGTGAAACTCTATTTTGTTGGTCCCCGGGAGATACTGCGCCGTCCCAGAAGGGGACGTGCCTAAACCCCTGGCTGCTGGTCTAAGCCTGTCGGCAGCCACTGGGGTGGGTACCAAAGGCCTCTTTTGCTCCCGGGTCTCAGGATTGGTAGGTGTGGGGGAATTTTCGGTTCTGAGATTTCCTAACTAACACAGTATATGAATTTACCTTCACAATTTTTATTGGGCGGATCGATGAGGACTGGTGTGCGAGGCGACGTTGACTGTCACGACGACGGAATGGAACAGCCGGATGGTAGTGACCAGATGGTAGTGGCCGGTTGGCAGTGGCCGGATGGCAATGGCCGGGTGGCGGCGGCCAGATGGCGGTGGCCGGATGGCGGTGGCCGAATGACAGGGGCCAGCTGACGGTGGCCGGATAGCGGTGGCCAAAGGGTGGTGGCCAGATAGCAGTGGCCGGATGGTGGTGGCTGTATGGCTGGGCCGTATGGCTGGGCCGAAGGCGGTGGCCGAAAGCGGTGGTCAAAAGGTGGTGGCCAGATAGCAGTGGCCGGATGGTGGTGACTGTATGGCTGGGCCGTATGGCTGGGCCGAAGGCGGTGGCCGAAAGCGGTGGTCAAAAGGTGGTGGCCAGATAGCAGTGGCCGGATGGTGGTGGCTGTATGGCTGGGCCGTATGCGGTGGCCGAAAGCGGTGGTCAAAAGGTGGTGGCCAGATAGCAGTGGCCGGATGGTGGTGGCTGTATGGCTGGGCCGTATGGCTGGGCCGTATGGCTGGGCCGTATGGCTGGGCCGTATGGCTGGGCCGTATGGCTGGGCCGTATGGCTGGGCCGTATGGCTGGGCCGTATGGCTGGGCCGAAGGCGGTGGCCGAAAGCGGTGGT